TCGTCATCGACTGAAGATTTTGGCTATCATTTGACTTATTTTTAGATCCTGTCGTGCTGATCATTTTTCTGTCTGTCTATTACAGTTTTTCAAAGATATTATGCAATAACGCCAAAAAATGGTAAATATCGTTATTAAAGGGCAATAACTCTAATAAGGAGTCGTCTGACGATTTTGGTCATGTTGACTAGATGATGTTGACTTATATGTAGATCTTGTCTTGCTGATAATTTTACTGTTTACAGTTTGTGTCTATCTATTATAATTTTCGAGATAATAGGCAAAGATTAAAAAAATGGTAAAATTTGTCGTTTAAGGACAATAACTCCAGTAGGAAGTCATCTGACAGTTTTGATTTTAAGGAACAAAAGGTACATCTGAACATTTTTGTCCATGTTAGATTTTCTCTATTTATAGCAGTTTTGGAAATAAAAGGCAAAACTTGCATTTTGCCCCTATGTTCTGTTTCTAGCCATGTCGGCTATCTTGGTTGACAGGCGAGTTCATCGGACACATTTTTTTAACTAGATACCCTAATAATGATTGTGGCCAAGTTTGGTTAAATTTGGCCAAGCAGTTTCAGAGGAAAAGAGTTTGGTAAAAGTTACCGGACCACGACGGACCACCGACGGACAACGACGGCCGCCAAGTAATGAGAAAAGATCACTTAGCCTTTCGGCCAGGTGATCTTAACCAGAGGCTCTAAAGAACTGTGTCGCTCACCTTGGTCTATGTGCATATTTAACAAAGGACCGTGACTCTCCAACATTGTAGACGAGAAAAGAATTCATGACAATAATTTCTGTTTTGTTGATCTTGTATTGCTTATCATTTTTTCTGTTTAGTTTCTCTCTATCTTCTATAGTTTTTGCTAAACACAAAAGAGGGTAAAAACAATCCTCATTTAAGGGCAATCACTCCTATAAAGAGTGACAATCTACTAACTATATCGGCAAAATTTGACTTGTTAGTAGATCTTGCCTTGCTGATCATTTTTTTTGAGATTTAAAGTGTCTATTTATCTATTGTAATTTTATCATACCAGGCAAAACGCAAAAAAAAGGTAAAAATCGTCATTAAAGGACAATAACTCCATATTGTCTTAATTGTAGATCTCGTCTTGCATAGGCGGATCCAGGGGGGGGGGGGGGCCTGGGGGGCCCGGGCCCCCCTTAAAATGGGAAAAATTTGGTGGATTAGATAGGGAATCACTGAAGCATGACTGGAGCGGCCCCCCCCCCCCCCTTTTAGGTCAGTCAGCGCCCCCCCCCTTTATGAAAAGTTCTGGATCCGCCACTGTCTTGTCTAGTTTTTATCGTAATTCCTACTGGTATTAATTGCACACCTCTAATTGCAGATTTTTTTCTTTATTGTTATAAATATTCTTTCATGTGAAAACTTGAGAAAAACTAAAATCAAAGTTGTTTTTATAAAGTAAACGGTATTTTTGACAATAACGGAAGATACCTAGGATATGTACTTATAAAGTTGATAATCCGACCGAATTTATATTCTGAATCATTCTGTTAAATGTATTTACCAAAAGAACCAACATTTTTTAGGCATAACTGTTTATATAAATAGTAAACTGAATCTAAAATGAACAACAATAGATACGACTTTATCTTCTGCCATTTAAGGCATTACGAACTCTCCTTTTTTGGACGGTGATGTACCAGTCTTGCTGCTTCCTATGGCGTTTACATTTCACAACTTGTACGAGTTGCTAGAATATATTCTAATGAAGATGGCTTCAATAAACGAAACATTGTTTTAACACCGCAATACCTTTACAAGCTAGCTAAAGGTTACAGATAACACAGACTTGCACAATGTCCCTGCTTTCTAAATTGTTGCATGTTTGTGGGAATCAGTGGTCATCCTGTTTCTAGCTGCACTCAGCAGATTTTTGATTGTGTATTTTAGTTTTACGATACATGGTCTAGATATGTAAATGGGGATGTTTTTTTTGCACACGGAAAACTAGTTTAAACCTCAACCAATTGTGTCAGATTTTTGGACTATTCATTGTTCCTTGTGCGCATGTAAAACTGGTTTTGTGCCTGTGCCAAGTCAGGTTATCTGGAGCATGTGTTGTTCGATGTTGGTTTGTCTTTTTATGCCCCAACTACGATTGTAGAGGGGCATTATGTTTTTCGGTCTGTGCGTCTGATCGTTCGTCCGTCCGTCCATCCGTTCGTCCGTCTGTCCCGCTTCAGGTTAAAGTTTTTGGTCAAGGTAGTTTTTGATGAATTTGAAGTACAATCAACTTGAAACTTTGTACACATGTTTCCTATGATATGATCTTTCTAATTTTAATGCCAAATTAGACTTTGGACCCCAATTTCACGATCCACTGAACATAGAAAATGATAGTGCGAGTAGGGCATCCGTGTACTATGGACACATTCTTGTTTTTTTATAGGAGTCGGTGGCTGGTGTGATCTGTTGTACCAAGGATTTGTATAGTATACACATCTTTGGTTGTACTGATATATTAAGAAATTCTTGTTATACTTTTTTTTTATGTCCAGCGAATAATTAAAAAAATATAAACATTCACTTCTAAGATAGGTACTTTGTGTCTTTTGTATTTATCATTTTATTTTAGTTGTTTTTGTGCTTCGTGCCGATCTGGTGAGTCGAACCATTTCCAACAATTTAAAATTATTATAATTAACTGACTATACGGTATGATTTTTGCTCTTTGTTGAAGGTCATATGGTGGATAGTTGTCTCATTGGCAATCATTAATCTCCTTATTTTATATTGTTGTTAATGTCAGGGACAACTTCAGGACAAGAGATAGATAAAAAAAAACACAGTGGTAAGAGGGGGAATAAAAAATGTAAACCAGATGCCAATATACATTAAAGACTTAAAATAAAATCAAAAGTGCAAACAATACAACGTATGTATAAGCGGACTTTCAAATTGATAAAAGCTATTACAGAACAGGATTAACTGTACTACCAGTTATCTCTATAAACTTTTTTGAATGCTACTGAAAAACAGCTGGTTGAATTCTGATATTTTCAATCCCTTTTTGGCAGCTTTTCGTTTTGTTAATTTAATAGTGGTTGAACAAAGGAAAAAGCTATTGATAAACACTAATACATTACATATATCCTGATGGTTCTATCCAAACCCTTTGAATGCCTTTCACATGATTTAGTTTTATTAATTATCTCAAACAGCCTTAGATATGGTCGGTACACTGAGCTTGCCTGCTTGTATCTATGGTATTGTCATTTTATTAATTATCTCAAACAGCCTTAGATATGGTCAGTACACTGAGCTTGCCTGCTTGTATCTATGGTATTGTCATTTTATTAATTATCACAAACAGCCTTAGATATGGTCGGTACACTGAGCTTGCCTGCTTGTATCTATAGTATTGTCATTTTATTAATTATCACAAACAGCCTTAGATATGGTCGGTACACTGAGCTTGCCTGCTTGTATCTATAGTATTGTCATTTTATTAATTATCACAAACAGCCTTAGATATGGTCGGTACACTGAGCTTGCCTGCTTGTATCTATGGTATTGTCATTTTATTAATTATTTCAAACAGCCTTAGATATGGTCGGTACTCTGAGCTTGCCTGCTTGTACCGGGTATCTATAGTATTGTCATTTTATTAATTATCACAAACAGCCTTAGATATGGTCGGTACACTGAGCTTGCCTGCTTGTATCTATAGTATTGTCATTTTATTAATTATCACAAACAGCCTTAGATATGGTCGGTACACTGAGCTTGCCTGCTTGTATCTATGGTATTGTCATTTTATTAATTATCTCAAACAGCCTTAGATATGGTCGGTACACTGAGCTTGCCTGCTTGTATCTATGGTATTGTCATTTTATTAATTATCTCAAACAGCCTTAGATATGGTCGGTACACTGAGCTTGCCTGCTTGTATCTATGGTATTGTCATTTTATTAATTATCACAAACAGCCTTAGATATGGTCAGTACACTGAGCTTGCCTGCTTGTATCTATGGTATTGTCATTTTGTAGTTAAGGGTTCTTTAAAGTGATTGTTATCTATCTTTTGTAATTCAACTGATAAAGCCTAAAAGGTTGAAAGGAGGAGGGATGAAATTTCATTTGCCTGTCCCACTTAAGGAAACTCATTATTGGTTCTCTTAATGTTTTTTCATCATTTGTGGAATTAGGTGTTTTATTCATCTGTTCCAGTTTTAGTTCCCTTCAAGTGTCAGAAATTGTTTATATAATTAATAAATAAAACAAATATGATCAAATTTCTGTAAGGCATTTCTATGATTCCTGAAAAATCATCGTTTTTCACCAAGATTTTTTTCTGCATATAAAATTAAGGGTCTACACCTCTTCTGCACCAATGCTCAGTGTTTCTGCATATTCTTTTTTGGCAAGTGAATGGAATGGACTCAAAAAAAGGCTTCATTTTGTTGAGCAGCATAAATTTGACAATACCAGTATCTCAATGTTATGAAAATCTGATTTATCCAATTATCAGCCAGGTTGTATTTTTGTGTTTTCATGATAGAAACAATATTTTTTCTTTGTTTCAAATGGCAAACTGGAAAAGGAATTGATAAGTTTGGGTTAAACTGATCAAAGTTTGTTAAAACATGATGTCTTTGATCAGTCAGGGTCAAAGTTAATAAGGCTGTGTCAACATATTTGGCGTCACAAGGCCCTGACATACAATGACAAATAATTCAGATGTGGATCCAGGATTTTGAAAAAGGGGTCTCACCAACAAGACAAACTTAGAAGAACCTATAAAAAGTCTACACATTAACCATATATGTAGCTCCATCAGGGAGGGGACACCCCAGGCCCATCCATATCCTGAATCTGCCTCTGCAATTATATGAAGAGCAGAGCAATGTGATACATGTAGAGAAAAGACAAATAAAATAGGATTTTAGTTAACATTCCTGCAAACCTACACCATATTTGAGAATAAAATATAAATAACAAGTCTGTTTTTTCTTCAGAATTTATTTATTTCATGTTAATAACAATAACAATTTTCAGATACTATAACAATGTCTTTTTGTTATTTCTTTGTCATACAGCATCAAGTCATTTCCATGCTTTGACATTCATATCATTAATCTTATTTCATAGCCATTGTTACACTACAATGTTAACACATATATTCCTCCATAAAAGATTAATGCCTACACATTCACATTCTACTTTGGAATATGCAAACAATAGATTGAAAAAGACATATTTGAAAAAAGTAAACATTTCTTATGGGTGTACAATTTGTAATGATAATCTATGTCTTCAATAAAGTAAATACAAAGAACTAAAGAACACAAAGAGCATCTGTTGTTCACATGGCATCTTTCTCATGACGAACCATCTTCAACCTAATATAGTTTATCTTTATGAACTATCATTTTATTACAAGTTATTCTATAATAGCCTTCAGGTTTTCTTTTAAAAAAAAGGTCTTCCGTTAACTTAAGAGCAATTGAACCTTAACATGATTGTGATTATAAATAATGTCAGTACGCCAAGTTTGTTGGCCGTTGGGTCATCGATTTATAATCTAAAATATTCAGTATCTTGTTTTCCTGAAACAAATTGAAGTAAATAGCCTTTACTTTTAAAAATAAAAATTTTGTCTCATTTTCTATTTTTAGTAAATGTGGTAGGTTTGTTTGAAAATTTGTCTCAACCATTCTCATTAAAGGTGATATTATCATTTCCTAAAAGTTTATAGTTTCAAGGATTTGACTCTTAAATCTTCTTTTTTTCACATGTTCAAAAACATGTCTTTTATATATTCAGTGTTTATGTTAATGGATATTTTCATACATATTTACTTAAGGCCATCAAAGTTCTTGCTTTAAATTGAAAACTATTACCCCAAGAACCTTGCTACTAAGAACATTTTGTAGGCATAAGATTTATAATGCTGAATGTTCTGTTATTACTATCTATTAAGTTTCAAATTTAAAGTAATAAACTATAACGTCTTGTACATAACAACCATCTGTATTCAATAAAGCGCACACTTGTATTGTAATATATATTTAGGTATGAATCAAGGTCAAACTTTAAACTACATTTTTCTACAAGATTTCCCATACAAAGATTTTTTTGTTAATAAAATATGTTTCTGAGTAAGGCCTTGATTTTTATCTAATTTTGCCCATACTATGTGTAGCATATTCATATGATTGCCATTGAGACAACTATCCATTTGAGTCCAAATGCCAGCCATTGATGTAAGCAACTAAAGTATGGTTTTCAACAATAAGCGAAACCCATACTACATGTATATAGTCAGATAGTGACATCAAATATAAATAATTCTGTTCTAAAGAGTGCAGACTTTAAGTTCCTATTCATTTAATCAGTAGTTCTATCACAATTTTGAAAGATTTGCAGATCTTTACTATTTCTTGAATTCCATTGGTCAGATTGCTCTTATCATATACTATCCTTTGAATGAGTTTATTTAACAATACAGTCACACTAACGTTAATACTATATTGACGATACTGTTAGTAACACTTAATTTAATATGAAGGATATAACTCTATGAACAAAACATAACATGAGTGTAAACTAACATATAAGTTCCCAGAACAGCAGAAAAAAAAATGTAATAACAAACATACAATTCAAAGGTATATTCAAATAATAGCATCAAACTATCCTATTAGTTTCATATCTGCATGAATGTTATTTACAAACTGTTTTTAATATATTCAACAAAGTAAATATTGGCTTCTTAAAACAACTGCACATTTATATTTTTCTATTAAAGTCATATGAATCGATTTTGTTGAAATTACAATGTTACGGAAATTATTGAACCAATGCATGTATATATACTAAACTAAGTCCTTTTAGCATGATTTTTGTACATTTATTACAAATCCATAATTTGTAATTGACAAAAAATATATCATTCAGTGAAAACTTTGCATGCTTATTAACTTTCTGGTTTTATTGCTGAAGTTAATCAATTGTGACCTTAATAAACAATCCAACACAGAATTATGGAGCACATGAAAAATAAGGAAGATATATATATAATACACATGCAATCATGGCTTCCAAAATGGTCATATATTCCGGACATATATAAATTTTGCATGATGCAATAGAGTGATTTTTAATTTTTTATGCATTTTTCATGCTTTTCCATAGGTGGATTCGGGGGGGGCCAGGTACCCCCTTTTATGGGAAAAATTTGGTTGATTATATAGGGAATCACTGAAGCATGACTGTAGTGGGCCCCTTCTTATGGCAGTCAGTGGGCCCCCCTTATAAAAAGTTCTGGATCCGCCATTGGTTTCTATTTGTTACTTAAAAGTTTGTCATTACAGTTGTTATTTGATTTGGTGTGTTAAAATTTTTAGAATCAATTAACACTATCTTACTTCCTGGTTTTTTTACCTTTTCTTCATGGTTTTCCCCTAGCACTTGCACTGTGGCCAAGTACTAACGAGAAGTCTCATGGTTAAGGTCACTGCATACCATAAAGCTATTGGAGAATTAGAGTATCAGAAGACAATACTTCAATAGCAGTATTTTTCAGAAGATTTTGATAAGATAAAGGATTTTCTTTTAAAAGAAAGTTCATGTACACATGTTTTATAGTACAACTTAGCCATTCAGGAGCCTCTGGCCTTTGTTAGTATTGTATCTTTTTTAATTTTAGTTTCTTGTGTATAATTTGGAGTTTAGTATGACGTCCATTATCACTGAACTAGTATACATATTTGTTAAGGGGCCAGCTGAAGGACGCCTCCGGGTGCGGGAGTTTCTCGCTGCATTGAAGACCCATTGGTGGCCTTCGGCTGTTGTCTGCTCTATGGTCGGGTTGTTGTCTCTTTGACACATTCCCCATTTCCATTCTCAATTTTAAGTATGTTAAACATAATCAACTTTTTTTTATAATTTGAAGTATCGTATGACTTTAAGAATTGGAACTTTTCTGGCATTGATATGATAATAGCAGATTCTTTGGTATAAACAATAAGCAGACTGCATCACATACCAACATATCAAGTAAACCTTTGTTTTTTAAGTGATTGTAAGGGGACTCAAATACATATTGTAGTAATATCAGGTGTGACAGGTGTGATAGGCAGCGACTGTCTGATGGAACAGCTGGCTACCCAGAACACTTATTAAGAAGGTCAAGTGTTTTTTTTCACATCAATGTTTACATCAATTTTTAGAAGCAAAACAACCTTTTTTGTTTTAGGAAAAGCCATGTATTGTATTCATTTTCAATCTATATAAACATAATATATTATAATAAAAAATATTCACATATTCACAAGCATCAGATGTTTATAATTAATGTCATAATGGAAACTCTAAATATCACTGTACTTATTGACAAGTAAAAATAGCACACAGGTCTTTTTATTGACCATTCAGTTTATTTTTCATTACCACACAAGTTTCTGTATAAAGTCCATGTACATAATGATATAAAGGATTATAATAAACATTTCTTGTTCTTGGTCACAATTACATTGGAGTTTTTTGCTTTGTCCGAAATAGTATTTACATAATAACATGATTTTATATATGCTGCATCCTTGGTCATTTGATGTTGTTGGATTTCCAATCAATAATTATATAGTTCAGATGTCAAAAGTGCATTATATGGTTGGATTTTTAGAGAATGGTCACAGTGCAAGCAATACATCTAAAAGATCTGAAAAAAAAAACAATATGAATTTGAATACAATTTAACTGCATTAGAAAATGTATAAATTTACAGGAGTTAAGAGTGCATAGGCAGAGTTGCAATCTTCATAGATTTTTAGTAGAAAAACATTTTGTTCTGTTATGTCTGTAGGTATAGTTGTTTCCTATTTTTGGTGACTTATACTGTAAAAGTTTGCTGAAAATTATGTCAAATGATGGGAAAATTCCAAATTTCAGTCTGCTGTGATCTTGACCTTCTACCAAATGATCCTAAAAATCAACATTGGTCTTTTTCACTGCAAGAGGCATCATCAAAACCATGATTTGTAATGGCATCATGATGTTTCAAAAGATATTGTCTGGAAATAAAACCTTTATACATTTTAGTTTATTCCAAGGCACTGTCACCTTGATCTTTCAAAAATCAAAATATTCTTGTTCCTGCCAAGGAAAATTTGCAAGCCACGTTTGATGAAGGTTAGACATATGATTAGACACAATTTTTTTTTAATCAAAATGATGCCTAAATTTAATCAATTGTTACTCTGAAACCAAGTGATTTAAAAATCAAAAGTGGCCTTTCCAATAAGTTTAGTAATAATTGGAAGTATGGATTCAAAGATATAATCTGTAAAAAGAAGGGGTTTCCCCTTGGTCAATTTTCTTTTTTGCCACCTCTTTCGCCTAAAAAATGTATTTTTCACCACTTTCAAATTTTTTTTCACCAACTAACTTAAACATATTTTTTGTTTAAAATTTTCCTTCTTTCAAACAAAAAACAAATAGTTTGCTGCATTGTTGTCTATTATAATTCTTCATATCTATTTTTTAATCTGCATAGTAATAAATAAACACTCAAAAATAACAAACATTTACTTTCTAAAAGATACTGTAAAATTGCAATATAATAGATCATGAAATCATCATTTTTGACGTCTGGGAACATAGGATTTATCTTAAAATAAGTTTATCAGATACTTCCCGTCTAGTTGAGGGATTAAGGCTAAAGAAATTTTTCTTACTTTTGAAAATTTTTTTTTCATAACAATAAATGTGTCGCTAAAATGATTGTGAAGTTCCCACTTCAAAACAATTCTTTCTATCAAAGTTGCAGGATACAGTTTAAAGTCAAAGATTTTTCTTACTTTTGATCTTTTTTTTGTTTTAACAACAGTTTTCTTTTTCGGACCATTGACATCGTTAAAAGAAAAAGAGGAGACGTAAAACTATGGTTCAAATATGTGCGTCCCTAAAACGATGGTGAAGTACCATCTTTAAAACAATTATTTCTATCAAAGTTGTTAAAAAACTCCAGTAAGTGACAAATGATGCCATTTAACAATACAATATACACCTTTATTATATACCGGTTGTCCATTGTTGTCGATAGCTATTAAATGCAATCAGCTGATTATTGATTTTCTTTCATAATCGTAACGAGTTCAAGGTGAATTCCTAGTATTGTCTGATAAGGGATAAAGTCCGAGAAATAAGAAAAAAGGAAACAAGATGGATGAAGATGAACTGTTATATTTCTTTTGCCAATAACGAAATTTTAATCCCCAAAATTTAATTTTTTTCTCAAAATGGCAAAAATGGCAAAGGCCAGCGGAAACCCTGGTAAAACAAGAGTGCACACGCTGAAATGTCTTCTTTACTAACCATTGATTTTATGTTGATAGTCCTAAATACAAGTAACACATAAACTTAACATGACCCAAGAAAATGAGGTCAAGGTCAGATAAACCAAACCAGAAATACATGTACACCTTACAATCATTCAATAAACCAAACATAGTTGACCTATTGCTTATTGTTTCTAAGAAACAGTCTTAAACAAGAAAACTTAACATTGACCAATGAACCATGAAAATGAGGTCAAGGTCAGATGAACCATGCCAGACAGACATGTACACCTTACAATCAATTTAAGCATTAAATATAGTTGACCTATTGCTTATAGTATCTAAGAAACAAACTTAACCATGAAAACTTAACATTGACCAATGAACCATGAAAATGTGCCAGACAGACATATACACCTTACAATCCTTCCATACATCAAATATAGTTGATCTATTGCTTATAGTTGAAGAAAAACAGACCAAAACACAAAAACTTAACACTGTGAAATGAACCGTGAAAATGAGGTCAAGGTCAAATAAAACCTGTGAGACTGACATGTACATCATAAAATATTTTCATACACCATTTATAGTTGACCTATTGCATATAGTATTAGAAAAAAAGACCAAAACTCAAAAACTTAACTTTGACCACTGAACCATGAAAATGAGGTCAAGGTCAGATGACACCTACCAGTTGGACATGTACACCTTACAATCATTCCATATACCAAATATAGTAGACCTACTGCTTTTAGTATCTGATATATGGACTTGACCACGAAAACTTAACCTTGTTCACTGATCCATGAAATGAGGTCGAGGTCAAATGAAAATTGTCTGACGGGCATGAGGACCTTGCACATACTAAATATAGTTATCCTATTACTCATAATAAGAAAGAAATTAACATTACAAAAAATGTTGACCTTTTTTTCAAGTAGTCACTGAACCATGAAAATGAGGTCAAGGACAATGGACATATGGCAGATGGAAATTTCGTAACATAAGGCATCTATATACAAAGTATGAAGCATCCAGGTCTTCTAGCTTCTAAAATATAAAGCTTTTAAGAAGTTAGCTAACGCCACTGCTGCCGTAGCCGACGCCGGATCACTATCCCTATGTCGAGCTTTCTGCGACAAAAGTCGCAGGCTCGACAAAAACTATTTGCCTAATTCCAGTCTATTTATTACTGCTATAACCTTGACCTTTGACCCTGTGACTTTAAAATCAACAAGGGTCTTTATGATCTAAAGGCTCATTATTCACCAAAGATTAGTAAGAGGTGATTTTGCCTCAAAAGATACTGTCAAGAAACAAAACTTTCCATGAAGTTTGAAAGCTAACAAAGGTTTCAAACTGCTGCAACTAAATCTTTCAAGTGAAGAATGTACAGATATAAAATCTAATTGCACACTTACAAAAATGATCACAGATGAATGGATGGATATTTTGTATCCGTTTATCACTTCACAGGTCCGTCTTCTTCTCTGTACCGTTTTCTCGTTGACTCACATCTATTATAAATGAGAAAGTAGAAATTTACATAATGAAAAACCTTTTCATTGTTGTACATGGTTCTTTTACAATCCAGCAATAAATTTTTGAATAAATTTTTAATAAATTAGTTATTATATGTATAATGTAACATCTAACTTTCTGTAAGAGGAACAATGACACTCTTTAGAAGTGGGGCATTGCCATTGGCTATTGAAATGGGATGAGACTGCAGATACCTTTGACAATTCAACTGTAGAAAATGAAATACACTTCATGATGAACTGTCCGCTCTATTCTAACATTCGATTTGAACTAATACAAAATGCTAAATGGGTGACTGATAGTTTTGAAATGTTTACAAAAGTACACAAATTTACATCTATAATGAAATGTGATGAAATCCAACCACTTTTGGCTCACACACTCCATAAATGTTTTATGAGACATAAACAAATTTTATAACATAGTTAAAACTTACAATATTGCTTTAGTTTACTTTGTTTTTTTTTTACAATGTAAATCTTCACAATGAATCTCTAGCAACTTTTGTAGTGAACGTAAAATTTTTAATGAATTTTTACTGAATTTTTTACTGAATTTTTACTGAATTTTTACATAACCTTTACCCAAGTGGTGTTTTTAAACGAATTTCACTGTAATGATAATTCTTTTGTTTTTATCGTTGATTTATATTACTAAGTTTCAGAATATTATTATTTTGAAGCATTCATGCAGATATTTTATAGTCATATGTACATTTTTTTATTAATTTTAAATGATGTAAAACATGACTATGCCTTTTTGTAAAAAAATATTTTCCTTTTGTATTATTATTATAGCTTTTATTTGTATGTACAGTGTCTCAAAAGTCTTTTTTTGATGTTTTTTGTAATTTAACTTAAAACTTAAAACTTAAATAAACTATTATTTATCTTATCTATATTTATATTTGTCCAGTTTCCTGAGTGACCTTCAAATTATGACAAAAACTGGTTTAAAACAAACATGTTAATTAAGTAATAATTTCCATATTATTTCTCCGTCTCACTCAGTAAAACTAATTTTTTTTTTTTCAAAATTACTGTGACTTAATTGTAAGTGTTGCTCGCCACATATTGGAGTCCATTCAAAATTCTGACGAAATTGCAATTTGTTAAATTTTTATCAAATCAAACTGTTCAAAATTTTAACCAACTGCTGTAGAAAAACAACAGTCAGTCATCAGAGTGCAGTTTTCTCTGAAACTCATCCTTTATGATGTAATCAGATAAAAAATTGCAGGAAATGGTATTTCTCTTCCTGATGTTGTAGGAAAAGTTTTGAGAAAAATGTAAAACCAGAACACATTTCTGGCCAAATGCACAAGTCAGAAAACTTCAATTGATTATTGATTTTCTTACTGTTATTGAGAACTTCATCCTCATATTTAGCATACAAATAAGAACTACAACACACTTACGAATTAAAACCATCTAATTTTCTCATTTCTATTTGCATATTTTGTGTTTCTTCTATATATCTGTCTAATTCTGTAACTGATGTATGAGGTAGAACATTTGGAATAAATCGGGAAAATAATTCAGGCTTTAAAGTTGCATATTCTGAAAAATATGACTCAGGCTTTTATATCACATATGTCAAAATATACACAATTAGTCAAATAGCAAGCATACTTGAATAGATGAAACATTTAAATAGAATGGCATATAAAACTTATCTAATAGTTAGTGAAGACATTTGTATAGCTTTGAGCCTTTCTCCCTTTACATACAAAGCAACAGAAACAAAATATGCAGTTTGATTCTTTTAAAATGTGAATTATAATGTTTTATAGAAATTAATTGTTAAATCATCATTTTAATAAGACAATCTGCCATTCACATATATACATACTTTTATATTGGTTGATGTAGTCTGTTGTACTGTGCCATTTTTTTTTTCATTTCATGTTATCCTTTTTGAAGTATCATTCATAAACATGATAAATGCAAATAATTTCCATTTAAAGCATTTGGCTTTTATGTTTTGTTTAAACAAGAATGTGTCCATAGTACATGGATGCCCCACTGGCACTATCATTTTCTATGTTCAGAGGACCGTAAAATTGGGATCAAAACTATAATTTGGCATTAAAATTGGAAAGATCATATCATAGGGAACATGTGTACTAAGTTTCAAGTTGATTGGACTTCAACTTCATCAAAAACTACCTTGACCAAAAACTTTAACCTGAAAAACTTAAACTTGAAAAACTTTAACCTGAAGCGAGACAGACGGACGTTCGAACGAAAGGACAGACAAACGGACAACGAAGGAATGGACGCAGACTGAAACATAATGCCCCTAGGTGGGGCATAAAAAATATTTCCTACTTAACAATGTATTAGCGTATTAGTCTTTATTCAAAGCTTTTTAAATATTAATTTTTGGACAATTACTTTTTTTGGTGGGTCTTTTTTACCTTATTTTTCTGAATTTTTGCTTTTCAGTGCTCTTCAACTTTGTATTTGATTTGGCCTTAGACCTGTTTTTATTCAAGTGCCACTGACGAGTCTTATGTATACCAAAAGTGTGTATGGCATACTAAATTATAAGCCTAGGCCTGGTATCTTTGATGTGTATTTACCTGGATTAATGGAATGAAGACTTTGTATTGTATTACACATCAAGGCTGGAGGAATTATAAAAGGTGTGTTACTGCTTTCTTCAAGGACAGCTGAAATATATCAATACATTATATTTATACTCTATAAAATAAGTTAGCATGTAGGAAGAAATTTTTGAAATATAAAAATGTAGGTCAAGGATTCTTTGTCACAAAGAGAAGATTTGTTCACTAGCAAAAGAGTTTTCTCATAAATTGGAATTAATAAGATTTGGATCTTAATACAGACCTTGAGAAGGGAGAATGAGGAAACAAATTACCATACAAATATCATATCATCCCCAAATCCATTGAAATACGGCATCCAACAAGAGCTGAAATGAATACTTCACTGATAATGATTGACTTTTATGTTAAAAGTCTTTAAGATCAAGGTTTTACTACAGGTATCACATAAACTTATCAATGATCCATGAAAACAAGAGGCTCTCAAGAGCCTGAATCGCTCACCTGTATTTTAGAGGAGAAGATTTTTAAATGTTAGCAAACTTGATGAACAAATTGTGTAAAATTGTCTTTAAAGGGCAACAACTCCTTAAGGGGTCAATTGACAATTATGGTCATATTAACTTTTTTGTAGATCTTACTTTGCTGAACATTATTGCTGCTTACAGTTTATATATATCTATAATAATATTCAAAATAATAACAAAAAACTGCAAAATTTTGTTAAAACTACCAATTCGGTGGCAGCAACCCAACAATGGGTTGTTCGAATGTGTGAAAATTTCAAAGCTGATAGATCTTGACCAATTGAACAATTTTATACCATGTCAGATTTGCTCTAAAAGCTTTAGTTTTTGAGATATAAGCCAAAAACTGCATTTGACCCCTATGTTCTATTTTTAGCCATAGTGGCCATGTTTGTCGATGGATCAAAACTTCGGATACAATTTATAAACTAGATACCCTAAGGAACATTAAGTTAAAGTTTGAAGGTCTTTGGCCCAGTAGTTTCAGAGGAGAAGATTTTTGAAATAGTTTACGACGACAGACGACGACGACAACAGACAACGATGACAGACGACGGACGCCAAGTGATGGCATAAGCTCACATGGGGCCCTTTTGGCCCCAGTGAGCTAAAAAAGTCAAGGTCAAATGAACATTGCCAGATCGACATTTGCATCAATGATCATACATTTGATATCATCTATGTTAATTTATATAATATTATCACATATGAATTCAATCATCTAATAAAAGTGTTATCATACTAAATTGAACATGTATCTACTTACAAAATAAGTGTGCTAGATGCTTTTCTAAAATGTGCTTTCGGAACAATTTCTTTAATTCTGTATGTAAATTTGTCTTCAGTTTTGATTCTACATAATATCTATTCTGAAGTGAGAAAAAAAGAATACATCTATATCCTATATTTAGAGTACCAAGATATAAAAGTTATCTTTTAACGACTTATTGTATGCATTAAATCTATCACAAAAACTAATTCAGTACCATAATAGACAGTATGCAGTAAGACTTGTCTCACCTAAGCCAACTTTTTTTTTTATCAAATTTATAAAATATTTTTTCATGTTTAAAGAAAAGATAATCGTGTCAGTTATTTTTTTTTTTCATATAAAACCATAACACTTGAAAAACTATGAATGAGACACAGTTGATTGTTATGAAAAATAATACAAAACTTTAAATCAAATGATGTTGAAAATCATGAAATATAATACCCTGTTGATTTCAAGAACTCACAATGATACTTGAAAAGTTTGCAATTTTGATAGAGAAATACACATTATTTCATACATATAAATTTGCTTTAGGAATAAATAACCAATAAATAACCATGAATTTTGACAAGTTAGAAATATGACAAATTAGGCTGCACTGAATTACGATCATTTACTATTTTATAAGCACAAGTTTTACAAATTAGTTTTGTTTTGGTTTAAGATTTCAAGGGATGAACTCTTGGTGTGTTGTTAGGCATTCTAATTCCCCTGAAACGTCACTTTCTGAAGGACATCATGTGTGCAGTTTTTCGAAATAAAAAAAATTATATGCTCCAATTTATGTTTCTCCCACACGTCAACATTTACACCCTTAACATTAGTGCATTTGATTCTAATATTTTGGGTATATATACACAGGATAAAAGTCTAATAAAAACAAAATTCCAGTTTAAATTATTGTAATACCTTGTATAAAAAATATCAACTCTTCAAAAGAAGTAAATTTCCTCACGGAACATTTTATTCCTTTTATTTATGTTTAATATGAGAGGACGAGGTAATAATGGAATGCCGCCATTATAAACGATGATACAACTTTTAAAATTATATATAGTTATTTACTAACAAAATTATTTATAAGGAAAGTATTCTGATTTTAACCAAAACTTTTACACAAATAAATGTGGATAGTGTCCCTATGTGGACACAGATGATGCCCCCACTTGCATATCATATAGTTATAAAGGGACATAACTGAAAGAACGGTAAAAGTGACACTACCCAAAAATTTTGTGGTAATAAGCATTGTGTGTAAGTCTCATAACATTTGGTTGAGGCTAACTTTAGAGAACAGAAACTAAAATTTCAGCAATTTTTCTATTTGTAAACACGCATAACTCTAGAACCATTGTGTATAAATTTAATAACATTTGGTTGAGACAAACTAAAGTTAGAGAACGGAAACAAAAAATTCAGCAATTTTTAATTTTTATGTTTATAAAGGGACATAACTCAAGAATGGTAAAAGTGTCACCACCAAATTTCGTACTTAATCTGTATTATGTAGTAATAAGCATTGTGTATAAGTTTCATAACGTTTGGTTGAGGCAAACTAAAGTTAGAAACGGAAACAAAAAATTTGTACTTGATCTTAGTTTTGTGGTAATGAATATTGTGTATAGGTTTTATAATGTTTGGTTGGGGCAAACTTAAGTTACAGAATGGAAACTAAAAATTTTGCAATCTTTCGATTTATAAAGGGGCATAACTCAATAACGGTTAAAGTGACACTACCCAAATTCAACTTGATCTGTGTTTTATCAGTGGAAGTCAAAATTAAACATTGCATTGTATAAAGCATTGATTGTAGTTGATTCAACAATAATCATGGACAAAGGAAGATAACTCCAATTTAAAAAAAAATGCTCTGCAGGGCGCAGCTTGATACGACCGCAGAGATCGAACCCTGAACAGTTGGGGCAAGTATGGACACAACATTCAAGCTTGATACAGCTTTGCATTTGAATTGTGATTAAATATTTGACACAGCATAGGTTTCTGAAACAGAATGAATGTGGTCTAAGAACTTAAAAATTTTAAATTAGACATTCACCTATTATGGTCAAATATCCAAAATCTAAATACATGGTTAGATTCAGCATATCAAAGAACCCCAAGAATTCAATTTTTGATGAAATCAAACAAAGTTTAATTTTGGACCCTTTCGACCTCAATGTGGACAAAGTTGATAACAGGGCCCAAAAATCAAAAATCTAAATACATGGTTAGATTCAGCATATCAAAGAACCCCATATATTCAATTTTTGTTGAAATCAAACAAAGTTTAATTTTGGACCCCGATTTGGACTAACTTGAAAACTGGGCCCATAATCAAAATCCAAATACATGTTTAGATTCAGCATATCAAAGAACCCTAAGAATTCAATTTTTGTTAAAATCAAACTAAGTTTAATTTTGGACCCTTTGGACCTTAATGCAGACCAATTTGAAAACGGAACCAAAAATTAAGAATCTAAATACACGGTTAGATTCGGCATATCAAAGTACCCCAAATAATTCAATTTTTGATGAAATCAAACAAAGTTTAATTTTGGACCCTTTGGACCTCAATGTGGACCAATTTAAAAACTTGGCCCAAAATCCAAAAACTAAATACACGGTTAGATTCAGCATATTAAAGAACCCCAAGAATTCAAGAATAAAACCCCATTGAAATTGGTCAAGAAATAAGCAATTTATACGAAGTATCTTCATTTGCACAATACTGTGCAATTAAATATTTCTTGCTATTGCGCAATACTGTACAACTGACAATTTCTTGCTATTGCGCAATATTGTGCTATTGGATATTTCTTGCTATTGCGCAATACTGTGCAATTGAAGATTTCTTGCTATTGCGCAATACTGTGCAATTGAAGATTTCCTCGCTATTGTGCAATACTGTGCAATTGAAAATTTCTTGCTATTGCACAATACTTATTATATAATAATTTACACATCCTGTTTGGTGTGTATCTCCTACCATATCATTATTATTTGCTTTTAAATATAAATCAGAAATAACCAACTTAAAATGGAAATTTTAAAAGCAAAAATAGGAAAAAAAGAAAAAAAAGGAAAAAAAAAAAAAATCCCCCCCCCCCCAAATTTTTTGAACCCCCTTATGATTCATCACACCCAAACTCAATCCCAGCCTTCCCTTTGTGGTATGGTACCTTGCAGTACAATTTCAGAGAGATCCATACACTTGAACACAAGTTATTGTCTGGAAACTAGAAAAATGCTTATTTTTGGCCCCTTTTCGGCCCCCAATTCCTAAACGTTTCGGCAATTACCCCCAAACTCAATTCCAGCTTTCCCTTTGTGAAATGGAACCTTGTAGTACAATTTCAGAAAGATCCATACACTTACACACAAGTTATTGTCATGAAACTAGAAAAATGCTTGTTTTTTGCCCCTTTTTTGGCCCCTAATTCCTAAAATTTTGAGGCAATTACCCCCAAAATCAATCCCAGCATTCCTTTTGTGATATGGAACCTTGTGGTACAATGTCAGAGAGATCCATACACTAACACAAGTTATGTCTGGAAGTTAAAAAAATGCTTATTTTTGGCCCCTAATTCCTTTACTGTTGGTACCATAACCTCCAAAATCAATCCCAACCTTCATTTTGTGGTATTGAACCTTGTGGTAAAATTTCATAGAGATCCATTAACTTAAACTAAAGTTAGAGTGCGAAAACCAATGTGTCTTCGGACGATGCCGGACGACGCCAGACGTCGACGACGACGACGCCGACGTCATACCAATATACGACCACAAAAATTTTTTGGCGGTTGTATAAAAATTACTTGATATTTAGAAGAAAATAAAAATTTAGCAATTTTTCCATTAATAAAGGGGCATAACTCTAGAACGGTAAAAGTGACGCCACCAAAATTCAAAGTTGATCTGTGTTTTGTGGTAATAAGCATTGTGTATAAGTTTTATAACATTTTGTTGAGGCAAACTTAACTTAGAGAACAGAAACTAAAAATTTTGCAATTTTCCATTTATAAAGGGGCATAACTCTAGACAGATAAAGTGACTCCACCAAAATTCAAACTTGATCTGTGTTTTGTGGTAATAAGCATTGTGTATAAGTTTCATAACATTTGGTTGAGGCAAACTGAAGTTAGAGAACGGAAACCAATTATGGTACGTACGTACGAACAGACGGACAAGGGTAAAACTTAATGCCCCCTCTGCTGCGGCGGGGGCATAAAAAAACCCAATGAAATACTGGTTAGTAAGAGGAGAAAATAGGCCAATATAATAGTACAAAACAAAAGAGGTACGGCCAGTTTTCCATAAATTTATTACACACCGATGGCCTTTTCTAAATGTCTTTAAATCTGTAGAAAAATCATCACAGTTATACTTTGAGGTTTCTACAACATTATGTGTTATTTCTGAACATTTACTAACCAGATTATAAATGCTTTAAGTGACTTGCTTTAAAAATGTTATTTCAGACAGAACATGTTGGAAATTCAAGAAATGAATAACTAGAGGCTCTAAAGAGCCTGTGTGGCTCACCTTGGTCTATGTGCATATTCAACAAGGGACACTCTCCAATATTGTAGATGAGAACAGAATTCATGACAAAAATCTCTGTTTTGTTGATGTTGTATTGCTGGTCATTTAGTCTGTTTAGATTCTCTCTATCTTCTTTAGTTTTTTTTTCTCATAACACAAAAGGGGGTAAAAAAAATCCTCATTTAAGGGCAATCACTCCTATAAAGAGTGACAGTCTACTGACTATATCGGCAACATTTGACTTGTTAGAAGATCTTGCTTTGCTGATCATTTTTGTGATTTAAAGTATCTATTTATCTATTATAGTTTTTATCATATAAGACAAAACGCAAAAAAAGATCGTCATTAAACTCCAAAAAGAAGTCATCCGACCATTTCCTCCATATTTGTATTAATATAAGATCTTGTCTTGCTGATAATTTTTGCTTCTATCTATTATAATTTTTGAAGATATAAGGCAATAAATGGGGAATGTGTCCATGGGACACAGATGATTCCCCCGCTTGCATATAACTCAAGAACTGTAAAAGTGACGCTACCCAAATTTGTACTTGATCTGAGTTTTGTGGTAATAAGCATTGTGAATACGTTTCATAACTTTAAGTTGAGGCAAACTTAAGTAGAGAACGGAAATGAAAAATTCAGCAATTTTTCCATTTGTAAAGGGGCATAACTCTAGAACGGAAAAAGTGACGCCACCAAAATTCAATCTTGATCCGTGTTTGGTGGTAATGAGCATTGTGTATAAGTTTCATAACATTTGGTTGACGTAAACTAAAGTTAGAGAACGGAAACGAAAAAATTCAGCAATTTTTCCAATTGTAAAGTGGCATAACTCTAGAACGGTAAAATTGACGCCACTAAAATTCAAACTTGATCTGTGTTTTGTGGTAATAAGCATTGTGTATAAGTTTCATAACATTTGATTGAGGCAAATAAAAGTTAGAGAACGGAAACCAATTTTGGGACGTACGGGACATATGGACGTACAGACGGACAAGGGTAAAACTTAAAAATGCAAAAAAAATGGTAAAATTCGTCATCAAAGGGCAATTACTCTAATTAGGAGTTGACTGACGATTTCAACCATACAGACTTATTTGTAGAACGTGTCTTGCTGATCATTTTTGAAATTTAAAGTTTCACTCTATCTTTTATGGTTTTCAAGATAATAGGCAATAATTACAAAAAACGATTAAATTTGTCATTTAAGGGCAATAACTCCTTTAAAAAGTCATCTGACAGTTTTGACATATATGGACAACTGGTAGAGCTCAACATTCAGAACATTTTTGCTTTGTCAGATTTTCTCTGTTCATAACGGTTTTCAAAATAATAGACAAAACTTGACTTTTACCCCTATGTTCTATTTTTAGCCATGTCGGCCATCTTGGTTGGCAGGCAGGGTCATCTGACACATTTATTGAACTAGATACCCCAATTATGATTGTGGCCAAGTTTGGTTAAATTTGTCTTAGTAGTTTCAGAGGAGAAGATTTTTGTAAAAGTTAACTGTTGACGATGGACAACGACGAACAATGGACACAAAGTGATGAGAAAAGCTCACTTGGCCCATTGGGCCAGGTGAGCTAAAAAGGAGACAAAAACCAAAACCAATGTTATGGGGGAAGTATTAAAGGTAACATATCCCGTCTTTAAATTCAATCATTTTTGCCAGATCAAAAATTATGAAAAATTTCAAAAATTAATGTCAAGTTTCTTCAACTGTAGTCATTCACCCAAATACAGTTTGACTTTATGAAATTCTTAAAAAAGATTAAAATGTGAATAAAAGGATGTTTTGTGAGTATATCAATGAAACAGCAGCCCACTAACCAAAAAACAAATAATCTAGAGGTCAACATATTGTCTTAAACAATACACGAGTGTGTACACAGTACTGGCATGTCTAGCTCTAAATTGCAGCGAGTCTTTCAATTAAGCCATAAAGAAATTCAACAGTCCGCCATAACTATACATGAGATGTTTCTCATTTGTAACTTGAACAGAATAAAAAGAGAGAGAAATTTATGATATGCATGTGGTTAAACACATTTGTTGGCACCAAACACTCCTCTGACATAGGACAGTGGTGTTGCAGTACAATTCACCTCCAGCATAAATACGCCTTGAACATACACCTCAAGAATATTTACACATTGAGCATACACATTGAGTATTGACTGTAAATGTACCCTATCTTACCATATAGTTAAATATTGGAACAATACCAGATAATGCCTATACACCTTGAGTATTCACTGTAAGTGTACCCTATCTTACCATATAGTTTAATATTGGAACAATACCAGATAATGCCTATACACATTGAGTATTGACTGTAAGTGTACCCTATCTTACCATATAGTTAAATATTGGAACAATACCAGATAATGCCTATACACCTTGAGTATTGACTGTAAGTGTACCCTATCTTACCATATAGTTAAATATTGGAACAATACCAGATAATGCCTATACACATTGAGTATTGACTGTAAGTGTACCCTATCTTACCATATAGTTAAATATTGGAACAATACCAGATAATGCCTATACACCTTGAGTATTGACTGTATGTGTACCCTATCTTACCATATAGTTAAATATTGGAACAATACCAGATAATGCCTATACACCTTGAGTATTGACTGTAAGTGTACCCTATCTTACCATATAGTTAAATATTGGAACAATACCAGATAATGCCTATACACATTGAGTATTGACTGTAAATGTACCCTATCTTACCATATAGTTAAATATTGGAACAATACCAGATAATGCCTGTTGATATTGATTCCATACAGAATAATATTTCTCTAAAAATTGTCTCCCATCTTCTTTCTCCTACAAGTATACATAACCCTGCATTTACTAATGATAGACAAATAATGTTCATGGTTAAAACATACAATGTAGATTATTGATTTTTTTTTGGCATCTCTCTATTCATTTTTTTTTTGCACATCATAAACTGGATAGTGAAGATGGATTACTGGTATTCATATTTGAAATAAATGTGGATAGTGTCCACATGTGGACACAGATGATGCCCCCGCTTGCATATCATATAGTTATAAAGGGACATAACTGAAGAACGGTAAAAGTGACGCTACCCAAATTTGAACTTGATCTGAGTTTTGTGGTAATAAGCATTGTGTGTAAGTCTCATAACATTTGGTTGAGGCTAACTTAAGTAGAGAACAGAAACTAAAAACTCATAACTCTAGAACGGTTGTGTATAAGTTTTATAACATTTGGTTGAGACAAACTAAAAATTTCAGCAATTTTTATGTTTATATAGGGACATAACTCAAGAATGGTAAAAGTGTCAATACCAAATTTCGTACTTAATCTGTATCATGTAGTAATAAGCATTGTGTATAAGTTTCATAACATTTGGTTGAGGCAAACTAAAGTTAGAAAATGGAAACAAAAAATTTATACTTGATCTTAGTTTTGTGGTAATGAATATTGTGTATAGGTTTCATAATGTTTGGTTGGGGCAAACTTAAGTTACAGAATGGAAACTAAAAATTTTGCAATTTTTCGATTTATAAAGGGGCATAACTCAATAATGGTTAAAGTGACACTTCCCAAATTCAACTTGATCTGTGTTTTATCAGTGGAAGTCAAAATTAACCATTGCATTGTATAAAGCATTGATTGTAGTTGATTCAACTATAATCATGGACAAAGGAAGATAACTCCAATTTTAAAAATGACTTGATAATAAGAAGAAAATAAAAATTTAGCAATTTTTCCATTTATAAAGGGGCATAACTCTTGAACAGTTGAAGTGACGCCACCAAAATTCAAACTTGATCTGTGTTGTGTGGTAATAAGCATTGTGTATAAGTTTCATAACATTTGGTTGAGGTAAACTAAAGTTAGAGAACAGAAACTAAAAATTTTGCAATTTTTCCATTTATAAAGGGGCATAACTCTAGAACGGTTAAAGTGACGCCACCAAAATTCAAACTTGATCTGTGTTTTGTGGTAATAAGCATTGTGTATAAGTTTCATAACATTTGGTTGAGATTAACACAAGTTAGAGAACGGAAACCAATTTTGGGACGTACTGACGGATGTACGTACGTATAGACGGACAAAGGTAAAACTTAATGCCCCCACCGCTACGGCGGGGGCATAAAAAGTTAGGACGTGTACGATTGTAATTTTCTATACTTTGGGAGATTGTGTACATTATTTTTTTCCTGTTCTAACTACTGTGCAGTGTTTAATTACTTCATGTGAATGGCTTTATACTATACAGTATACATTAGAACACATTTATTTTGAGGAGAAGACTATCTTAGTTGTGATAACTTGTGTCTTGATTATTTTTGTCATATATATATATAAAATAAATAAATTATGTTTAAATAAAATGTGACATGCCATCATAATGTACTAGCAATTTAAACCTACACATTTCTAGAATTATTTAAAGAAATACAAATCAATAAAATAAAAACCCAATTATGGGAGTTAACTGAAAGGGTAAAATTAATAAAAAGAGTGCTTTACAACCAACATGATTTATACTATCCAAAGGATTTTAAAAAAATCTAATGCCTTGCCTTTTTTTACACAGACATACAATCTTCAAAACAAATCACAATATTTCATATATTTTTGAAAAATAGTTTAAGTGATCTTCTTTTATTTTCTGTATTATTTCAAGAAACAAATGCAAAATGAATAAGCACATAAACAAGGAATTATTTGAATCTGGAATAATTTTGAATTCGTCAAAATTGATATGAAAAGTATGATGAAAACTAGCCCATTTAAGGAGGCTTAGCCATGCATGCATGCATGGGTAACGGGGGTTAGTGAGTTCATACTGAACAAGAAATGATTGTAACAGGATGCTGTTATGAAGTCTCCCAAACGAAGCTCCCATAATTCGTAATTCCCAGTGTCGCCTGACATTGGACAAAGTCCAGTGAAAATTGGTTTGGTCCAGTAAAGTTATAAGCATTAGTGATGCCTGGGGACTAACCCTGTATATCATTCAAATCATCTTGGCATGACAAACCAGAATATATATGGTTTAGCAGTGGGGATCTCAACCATTTACAAGATACTAGAACATTGGGGGTGGAGGGAACCCCTGGGGACTGACCCTATACATCATTCAAATGTTCGAGACACGACGAACAGGAATATATATGGTTTAGGGGTGGGGATCTCGACCATTTACAAGATATTAGAACATTGGGGGTGGGGGTGACCCCTGGGGACTGACCCTGTATATCATTCAAACCATCTTGGTATGACAAACCAGAATATATATGGTTTATGGGTGGGGATCTTGACCACTTACAAGATATTAGAACTTTCTTAAATGGCAGGGGGTGGGGGTGATCCCTGGTTACTAACCCTGTATATCATTCAAACCATCTTCACATGACAAACCAGAATATATATGGTTTAGGGGTGGGGATCTTGACCACTTACAAAATATTAGAACTTTCTCAAATGGCAGGGGGTCGGGATGACCCCTGGGGACTAACCCTGTATTTCATTTGATGTGCTTTATTATGACAAACCAGAATATATATGGTTTAGGGGTGGGGATCTCGACCATTTACAAGATATTACAACTTTCTCAAATGGCAGGGGGTCGGGATGACCCCTGGGGACTAACCCTGTATTTCATTTGATGTGCTTTATCATGACAAACCAGAATATATATGGTTTAGGGGTGGGGATCTCGACCGTTTACAAGATATTAGAACTTTCTCAAATGGCAGGGGGTCGGGATGACCCCTGGGGACTAACCCTGTATTTCATTTAATGTGCTTTATCATTTAGAACATTTTCAATTAAAAAGATTGTGTCTATCACAAACGGTTTTCAATTTATAATCATTTGAAAATTTAAAAAAATAAAATCCCATAGGGTTCTATAGTAAAACCCTCCATTCTTTTTGCCCCTCAAAGTACCCTTTTATAAACCCCAATGCACAAACAAAACCCTGATTGCACCACTAGACATGTTAGTCTAGCATATTGTGAAACCCTAAGTTAATCTGACAAGCGGTTTTGGAGAACGGGTGCGGACAAGTTCAAATTTAAAAGCGGCGGAAGAAGAAGAAGAATAATAATAATAATAAGAACTGAGCAAAACCAATAAGTCTTCCCAAACTTCGTTTGGGAGACTTAAAGATCAGTGAACGTAACCTGAACCTTAGCCCGCAGGCTAATCCTCCATAGATGAGTTAGTTTTCATCATACATTTCTTATCAATTTTCCAGTATTCAAGATCATTCCAGATTCAAATAATTTCTTGTTATAATAATTATATTAATCATATATATATAATGATACAGAATAAATATTTAAAAAAAAGTCATATATATGGTAGGAAATTTAAAAAAGTTGTAAAACATGAGAATGAGGGTTGGAAAATCCAATGCCCTCAAATTGGTGTGGTCCAGGAATTCTCTATTTTACAAATGTCCCCCAATATAATACATACCCATGCCTGGAATTCCTCATTTTTTCCTTCAAGATATTTTGACATGTACTGCATCAGATCTGAGTACAACCTTTCAGAAAATTGTTTACATACACATTTATATACACAGCTGAAAAGAAGAAGAAACATGTCATTCAATCAAGAATACAGCCATCAGTTTTGTTCTGAGTGTCATCATAAATCATACTTGTAAAATTTTGTGTTGTAATACAATTTGGATGATGTTTTTTTGGGAAATTTCTGTTTTTGTTTTTTCCAGCTAGTCTGTATCTAAACTCATGATAGCATATATCATATATAATATAAATGTACTTTAATTTTGTTAAGAATCTCAACCAAATACTTGAAATTTTAAATTTATGGTGTGCTTTTTTAGAAGTGTGAATCTTTGACAACATACAACAATGTGTGATTGATTATAGCAAATCTGATACAAGTTGAGCAGATTTAAAGGAACATTAAAATGTGAGTAAGTATCAGGAGCTTTAGCAAATTAAATTAATTCAGCAAATTTTTTTTTTAAATTAATAAAACTAGCCTACCACGAAAAAATTCAAACTAAAATTTTTCTGATAGTACAGTATGCGGTATAATTTTTGTACCTTAATATGAATTAAAAGAGAGGCATACATCAATGACATAGAAAAAGGCATTCATAGGTAAACAGACAGTCTTCAACAAAAGACAAGTGTCAATCATTAAATAGCTACAAGTTGACTCATGTTTAAATTAATTTTTTAATATTTTTTGTCATTATTGTGGCTGAAATGTACCTCATACAAGAATTAGTCAATCAATCGGTTCATGGGTTTACATATCTAGTACTCTGCCATCAAAGTTCAAAAATTTAAATGCAATCATTAAAATTAATTTATTTTACTTACCTGTACATTTGTTCATATGATATAGGTATTCCTTGACCTGGTGCCATAGTTAGCAAATGATTTATTGCCTCTTCTAATTTTGGCCAGTATTGAGATTCGTAATCACCAGGAGTCAAGGTCATCATCACTACAAAAATCAAATGAGATAGTTGTGATGTAGGAAGCAAAGATCTCTTTGAGAATTCAGAGGTGGGAAAAACATAGATCTCTAAGAGAACTCAGAGGTAGGAAATCTGAGATCTCTGTGAGAACTCGGAGGTAAGGATAAATGATATTTTATTACAACCATATTATACAACTAGCTATAGGGTCAATCTGCATTGTAAATAAACATTATTATTATTATTACATAGAACTTCAACTAAATCATCACCTATTAAGTTCCAAAATTTAAAATAAAATCCTATTTCATGGGATATATTATTTTGGATAATGATGAAGAAACATGTAGCGAGATAATCTCGGTTATCAATAGGCAAGTATCAGATTTGATTTTATGAATTGATTGCTAAGGTTGACCTGGGGTTATATCAGGGAAACATGTGGACATTGCAACTACAGGCACTTCATTCATGCATAAGTATAGGCCCCTCCCGCTTTGAGGAAACAGGCCTTTACTATCCCATGAAACAAGTATCTGTGATTGTGACGTGAAGATGTTTGCTTTGTGACTGACGTAAAGTTTTTCCCGGAATATGCAATGATTGGATTAATTGATTGATTGTTGGTTGTTTAACATCCAGTGGCAAGCAATGATTGGAAGATTGTGTATACATGTACTACAATTTGAAAGTAACGGGTTTTCACCGGTAGCTCTAAAGATGGTCATTATCCGAATAACACATAGAATGACCGAACGACACCTGAAATTTAATTATAGCACATACATGTATTGGTGATCTTTAATCATTGATTAATTAATATTACATTCAAAGTTTATAATATAACATAAAAAGAATTTATAGAAGCAGGTAAGTTCAGAAAGATGTCATTTTAATTTAGTGGATACATCCAACATAGCACCAAGGAAATCAAAATGGGAAGAATGAAAGAGGGATTGCATACTATCAATATGAACAATTGGCAGGAACCCCCTAAAGAGATAAGAACCAAGCCCCTTTTAAAACTACTAAGATTTCCTGCACAAGGCACGGGCATACATGACGGAGTCCGCAGAAATACTTTATTTAGGATTTATTGTAAAAAATTGAATACCAAGATATCCTGCATAAGGCAAGGGCATACCTGTCGTAGTCTGCGTAAATACTTTATTTAGGTTTTTATTTGTAAAAAATTTAAAACTACTAAGATATCCTGCACAAGGCACAGGCATACCTGTTGTAGTCCGTGTAAATACTTTATTTAGGATTCTTGTAAAAAAATTAAAACTACTATATAAAGCTAAGATATCCTGCACAAGACTAGGGCATACCTGTTGTAGTCCGCGAAAACACTTTATTTAGGATTTATTTGTAAATATTTAAAACCATTTTCTCACTGACTCTCCATGAAATGTATTTATTTAACAAACAAAAAATATTTTAAGCGATAACCCACTTCAGATCGAATTAGTCTAAATAATCAAGACATTCAGTCATTCTTTCTTTGACAAAAGATTTAAAGCAATAATTTGTTGAAATCAGTATGTTATTAAACTTTTGCAAAAGATGCAGTAAGGATGTACATATGTAGGACTCAAAGGTGCGATGGGGATGCTGAAGTGCGATGGTCTTTGCCGAAGTGCAATGGTCTGTTTGCTGAAGTGCGATGGTCTATTTTAGTCCTTTGTTACGTTTAATACTAAAAAAAAATTGTTCTCTATAAATTTTCTGTGCGTGGACTTCATTATGCATGAACAGTTTATCTTTATTTGTTCCTCTCAACTGAGATTTCTAAAAGTGTTATAGTAATCTCAGCTCTCAGCACTGAAAAGTTCCATGTTTACCATAATAGCATAATACAGAGAGTCTGTCTGCGGACTCATATGTAGTAAGAGAATTCCAAGCTCCATTGTATGTAAAAAACAAAACTATTATAGATTTAAAAACAAATATCTTCTACAGAAGGCTTAATTTCCCCTTTCTACTAATTATTCACCTTTTCCGGTAGTATTAAAAATGTTGAAATTGCAAAAAGAAAAATCCTTATTTTCTCCAGTTGCAGTTAAAACCACTGACGGTGATAAGTTTATAAGGCCCTTATTATATTGCATTTTTAAACAGCTATCCCATTTGCAGTCATTGAAATTAGTACTGGTTTTAAAGGAAAATAACCACTGCATGTAGCGCCTCTAACAATTGTATGAACGTTGGCTTATTTCTGTCCAAAGTAAACTTCAACGTTACAATTATGACTGGAAAAGTAATGACTATTTTTCATGACTGTTTTAAATCAGACGGTTCTCGATGATGTACTTAATAAACACGAAAAGCTGCTTTTAACAAACAAATTGACTTCTTTATTGACATGAAAACATAACAAAAAACATTTAAAATATAGTTAATGTTATCCATCGCACTTCAGCGTATCCACCATCGCACTTCGGCGTAGCTATCAACAAGATAGCGTCACAATGCGACCATCGCACTTCAGCGCGATCAAAAACGCACTTCAGCGTCCAACCATTGCAATTCAGCGTGACCATCGCGATTTGGAGTACCATCGCGGTTCAGAGTCCTACACATATACTGTATATCAAGTTGAAAATATTTAATTCTTTTTCCGTTTTGGAGGGCGCTGTAGACATACCCATACTACCAGGTCGCAGAAGTGGATGTTCTTCAGCTTGGGACACATTTTCTTTGCCTAGCTCTGGTTGTGTTGAGTCAGCCTCTGCATCCATGGGTTCATCCATGGTTAAAACTTGTGGCAAAATTTTCTTTACTTTGCTTTTATTTTTTCCCGGAAGTCATCAAACTAATTGAAAAAAAGTATCGGACATGGAAAAGATTATTTGGTCTTCCTAAATTTCTAACTTCGTATCCGTAAAGTTTTTTCCTTGACCCACTTTTTAATCAATATTGTATAATCATACACAATAAACTTGAAATCAATTGTTTAATGAAGGGTTACTTATCTTGATACACAAAATATACCCAAAATATGTGTTCAAAAGGTATAGCTTGATCGGAATCAAAGGACTTAAATTAAAATAGAACTATGGCTGCCTTCTCAGAAACCACGAGAAAATACTTCAACAGTAACAACAGAATCAGGGAGCTTCAGGCACATTCAGCAAAAGTTCATTCTGTTGCATGGAATAGTGATGGGAAAAGACTTGCTTCTGGTTCATATGATAAAACTGTCAATGTATTTGTTTTGGATAGAGAACGGATGGTTGGTTGCACTTCATATTCAACACTGACAACAGTAGAAATTATAATTTTTGCTTCCAAAATTACCACTGAAACACCCGGAAATTAACATGGAATTAAACCCAAGACCCCTTAGCAAAAAAATTTATCACTCGCCCCTCCACGGTCAGGTTGACAATTGTGTACCTTTTCTCATAAAACATGATCTTCCACTTGGCTCATTTTCATGTAAAGATTTGATGTCAAAAAGAAAATATCTTCATGTTACAATGTGGTACCCAGTATAAGGCCCATTTGCTCCCATAACACATTGGCACCCTACACGTTCACCCCCTGGGTTTGTTTACACCCTACTTTATATTCAAATAGTCAGGTTGAAATAGGGGAAATTCGTCTAAATACGGACGGTGCCTAATTGCGGACGGAATAGGAAGTCTCCTTCTTATAATCGAGTTGATGAATTCATAACGGTCTCACTATTAGCGACAAGAAGAATTTTAGCGACAAGAAGCGACAAGAAGAAAAATATTAGCGACAATAAGAAAAAATTAGGGACAAGAAAGTTTATTTACTATTAAAACAATAGATTTATAGAAAATAAATCATCTAATTATACTAAGGATCCATAAAAATTGAGAAAAATGGTATTTAAAATTTAAAAAAAAAAAATTAAAAATTACCCCCCTTTTTTATCCAAACTTTCGTGTATACCTTATGTTTTTGATTAATAATGTTAATATTTGTACCTTTTTATCCTGTTATGACAGAAAAATTTGTGTCATGAATTTATATGTATTGCCCTTTTTTATTTAAAAGTCTGAAATAAATCAAGATTATATTATCTTATAATTTGGTTTTAATCTTTGATATATCAACCATGCTGACTCTACATCAATATTGATTCATTCATCTATACACTATGTTGTAAATTGAAGGTATATTATCTTAAACCTTTTCTTGACAATAAAAAAACAAAGTTTATAAGAACTCTTGTTTCTCATATATTAAAACAAGGATTTGTATACAAATCTTTGATTAAAACAAGACAATTTAATGTATGTTTCAAAAATTATTTATTTATTTAGAATAATCAGTATTTAGATTTTTTACGCTAAATTTGTTTTCTTGTCATTAAATTATACTTCTTGTCGCTAAATGATTCTTCTTGTCGCTAATTTGTTTCTTCTTGACGCTTCTTGTCGCTAATTAGTGAGTCCCATTCATAATGAAATAAATAAAATTGAAGTGAATGTATTTTCTTTTTCAATTATATGGTTGTTTACTTATTCTGTTTTAACAGTCAGAGCTCAGACATAAATAAGTCTAAATCTGCTTTTGACTCATAGAGGTCTAAATTTGAAGGTTTCAAGATTTGTCTCCCTTTAATTTAAGACAAATTATGACTTCAATAAGTCAATTAGTGTTAAGCAAGAAATATTTGACCTAAATTAAAGAGTTGCAAATATTGACTCCTAGAAGTCATTAAGTTACCAAAATTGGCCAACTTCAAGACCCATGCATATAAATTTATAAAAAGGTCATGCATCTACATGAAATTATGACAACATTGAAAGACAATGCTTTGTCTTCTATGGAAAAATATGCATGAGAGTCTAAAAAATTGGAGATAATATTTATTTACTTTACAATGCAACCATCTGTAATCACACAAAATGAGGAAAATAATCTATGTTAAGTAAAAATGTTCAATTAGATAATTAAATATAGATAGCTCAGGTCATTTTTGTGAACTCTCACACGTTTATGATGTCATAGGTGGTGCACTTTGGCCACTAATTAAAATTAAGTCTTTTCATAAACATAAATAGACCTAAACAAGTCTTGTCATTTTCTGACTTAAAGGGAAACTCTGCAAAAAAATGAAAAATTGATATTTTGTTCTTTAAGCATAAAAAACCACATGTTCATAAATAAAAAACTTTTATTCTCTATGAAAAGAGATCAAAATCGATTTTTGAAATTCACTATCAGTTCTCGACATATCGCCATCTTGTCGGCATGTTCGATCTTAAAAGTCACATGATATCTATAAACCACAAAGACCAAAATGAATCAGGGATTTACCGACCGTGCGTTAAAAACCCCCATCATCAATCGGGGATTACCGTAGATGATCACTCAGTGTGAAAAGTCTTGTCAAGCGTACGGTTGTTCTGTCCGACAAGGTTATGACAAAAGTCTAAATAGTTTTCCCAAACCCACAAAAAAAGATCAAAAATTGTATCAGACATGTTTGTACAACCTTAAACTACATGTAACAGCAAATAGTTGCATCTATAGCAAGCACAAGTTGATGTGTGAAGACCATTTTGAACAATCTTGTTTCGAGGGAGATTTGATGGTAATTATACTTTTTTTAATAACAAAATAACCTAGCAGTTCTGATAGCTATAGTTATCCAATCCTTATATGATAAGATCTCGTTGATTAAAAAAAATATAGATTTGATGAGGAAGAAAAGTTTCAATTGAAAGACAAATGCAGTGTTCTTGTAACAATCACTGATTTACAAAAGATTCATTAGTATGCCTCTTTTATATAAATTGCATTGATTTATATAAAGAATAGCTCCGTATTTAGACAAGATAATTTTTCAAATTAATAAAGTTATACGATAAATAACATTTTTAAATTATGATATTTAACGGATATTGACGGGGAGCAATGTTAGGAAGAGGTTTTAGCTAAGACAAAATATGTTGATATAGTATAATATTCCCAGGTTATAAAAATGTAAATATCGAAATATTGGACATCTCAATTTTTTATCAAAAGTGTTAACTAATCTTTTAACTATATCAAATTGATACGGGATCAATTCGGAACAGTCACTTATAAAGACACTTTACAGTTAAATGTGTGACCCTATCTGGTATGTTTGGAAAAAAATGTATAGTTTTTTTTTCCTTTTAAATTTTATTTACGTTATCTTATTATATACATATATATATATATTTTGGCTTCCTCCCGAATTGATAATAGGTATGTCAGAATTATTGATAGATGTCGTGTCAGAGCGACACATTCAGTTAGTTATCCCAAGGACCTATATTAGATACACATCCTTGGTTATTCCAGTGACATCCTGTCGACTAAAAATTCCTATTACACAATATATTATACAGGTTCATGCATGGCTTCTTAATTGAGGTACCTGGCGTGCACAGGTAACATTTATTGAACCACATATATTTGTGTTCGACGTTATTTATCTTGTGCGTGTTTGAAATTATAATTCCACCTGTTAATGAATGATGTTCTGATCTGATAATAATATTATCCACTCATGATTTTTGCTGATTATAAGTTTAAAAATTCTAAAAAATGAATACTGTTTTGTCATGATTCTGGATCCTACTTTTGAAAAAAAAAAAATTCTTCACACAAATACAAGCTTTTGACGATTGGCAAACATGCAATATAAAGTATTGCAGCACTTATAGTCAGTATCAAATATTTATTTATTGAAGATAAGAGAGCCCCTTCTATGTCTAATGTCCCTATCTTTATACGGATTAGAACGACAGGGGAAACAGTCACTGTAAAGGAACGGAGATAGAGTGGCATAGTAAAAAAAATAAAAAATTAGAGAAAAATATACTATATAGACAATGATAGAGAATGATTGACAAAAAGGGTAATAGTAATGGTAAAGGAAAAGAGATAAAGAGAGGCATAGTAAAAAAATGTTTGCTAGACAAAGTTACTGGTCGCTTTGATATTCTTATACAAAATCACACATCATGTTCCAAATTGGTATTCACGTGCGCTAACTTGATGTGTAAAGTTTCTGCATAGCATGGTTAAAAATAATTAAGTATCCCATTTGTTATATCGTAGTGTCACTTTGTTTCTTTGTTCAGTTTATTTAGTTTGTTAATGATTATGTAAATAAGAATAAATCTGTATAAAAACTTCATACCCGTTTAGTTGTTGCCTGTAGGCGTTTGATTATTGTTACGTTTAATATATAGATAGAATCTTTCATACATCTTAAAGTAAAATATGTGTGTCTGAGTCAAACGACATGAGAAGCCTGTATACTAGTACGACTCGAGTATAGCATGTAAAAATCCTACTCAATATGGTTGTATTGGAAATCTTTTCATACAGATAGATAACTCATAGTCCGACATTTATGTAATATTTGCCACATGATGCTCATATTTCTTTCTACCATCATCATCTTATTCATTAAATATTGCTGTAAACATCGATGGTTCACACCTAAACCAAATGGGAGTAATATACCTTTAGAGCTTCTCTGTGCTGGGAACAGTATATCTCAATATATATGTTCCTGCTCTGTGGTATACACTTGTCACAAATATATAGACGAAATTCGTTATTGAAGTGCATCTACATCTCACAAACACAATTTTGGAATTACGATTTTGAGTGAAACCCACCAAACCAATACAAAATGGCAAGACATAACCATGCAGGCATTTAATTTTCGTCAAACACACGATAAATAATCACTCTCATAAACGTATATATAATTTATGCATGCAGTTTCAAATATCAAGAACAAGCGGTCGATGTCTATGGATCATTGTTAAGTCGGTTTACTAACTGTTCAGAGTCAGACATGTCACTTGTACATACATACTCACGAAAAGCTACAAGTCTGCTTTGTCTGTTAGAAAGAACCTCTAGCGCTCATCCTCAACGGCGCTTATACGTCAGGAAACTAGTAAGGATTGTTTCAAGAACAACGAGGTTGGGACGAACTGTTCTAAAATCGTCAATATCAGTTATACAATGTATATTACTAAGATATGCATTTTATTATAACTACTGTATTACTAATTTGGATTAATGACGGCTATCCTGTTCAGCATTGCACAAAATTATAATAGAATATAAAAAAAAAAACTTGTTAAAAAAAATCCTCAAGCAAAATAATGTATTAGCTTATATTTATAATGTATTGATCCATTAATGAAATAAACGAATTTTTTTTCGTTTAAGTGATTGGCAGATTAATTTAATTATGAA